TCAAGGGGTGGGGATACCCATGTGGCCTTCAACAGCTTGCCAAAACTCAGTGAGTGGCCCTTCGCCTGAAATAATTGCCCGACCCTGGCCTATGCCTTCCCTTGGGGCATGCAGTACTGCCCATCATTGGAGACAGGAAACTACATTAGATGGGCCTTGGGTTTGACCCAGGTTCATAATGCCTTCCTTTTTAAATTGGTATTTGCATGTTTGTCTACCTAGTGTAGTGCAATGTAGTGTAGTGTAGTGAGGTGTAGAGAAAATGAAGGTAGCTCTGCAGGAGCTATGACAGGTACCAGAAGGAGTGCAGTCATGCTAGTGCAGAGCTCCATGCTGTGAATTTTCTGATACCAGAGCCAGTTTCTGTTGTGCTACCTATGCATCTGCTCTGTTGCCATCTGCTGAGTATGGAATCCTGTGATGCCATCTCCCTGAAGGGGATTAACTTGCCTTTCTGCTTTTCTCAATCCTTGTTGCCTCCCACATCCCATACTGTACTATCTTTAATTGGAGTGAGGAGGGGCTCCTTCAATTTGACACCAGGCAGCTGCCAATCAAGTGTGCGATCTAATCAACAGCTTTCCCCCAACACACCTCCATATCCTGTCTCATCCAGCAACTCCTGAGCCCCTTGTTATTTTCTAGGCAGAGATGCTGACCTGCCCCAATAAATCTAATGCCACCTGTTCACCCTTGTCAGCAGTGGCAACACATAGGGGGTGCGTGCACCCCCTGAGACTGCTGGTGCACCCCCTGACTGGCTGTGCTCACCACTTCAACGATGGGCATGGGGCACTGGCAGGAGTGCTGGTGCCCCTCCTGCAAGTGCCGGCTGATCTCTGCAGCCGCTTCTGGGAGTGGCTGCAAAGAGATCCGCCCTTCAGGCAGCAAGACACCCCTCCCCACCCCCCAGCAGTGAGATTGGCCATGGGGGGCCCCCCCCACAAGTCGGTGGGACTGGTCACAGGGGGAGCCTAAGGCAGCACCAGTCACCCATGGTTGTCATGGACTAATATTCCAGCAGAGTTGAGATAAGCTGCACATAAACAGTCTTTCCCCTTCCCTGGCTATCAAAGGGCACCTCCCTTGGACAGTGTAACAAGCTGCTAATGAAAGGCACTGTATCTTATTGGGACAAGAGGCCTTCCTCCCTGGGTCAAAGACAGATGGACTTCACCTTCTTTTTATGCTTTTTCTTTCTCCTTTAGAACAGGATGCAACACCAGTAGCACCTGGACATCATAACATTGAAACATGTGGAGCATGGCTTAGTGGCCGCTGGACTAAGATGATGGAGGCCTGGGTTCTTTTCCTACTTCTGCTACAGGTCTATTAGGAGACCTGTGCCCTTCTATTCCCCAATCTGTAAAGTGGGGATGGTGACAGCAACCTCCTTGTGAAATGCATTGAGATCTACAGATTAAAGTGGCTTGCTATGATTTATCTTCAAAACATGTGCAGCATGGATACCAGAAGGGTAAGCTTCCTCAGGCCACACTGACCATACCCCTCAGTCCTAACATGAGATAGACCCTAATGTGGGTATAGAGGTCTCCAAACTTTCCTCAAATCAATAGTTCCTTTCATGGTAGATTATTTTAGGTTAGAACTTAAGCCCACCCTGTATGGTGACAATGGAAGATGAGAACTAGAGAATCCCACCACTTATCTAGATCCAATGTCTCAATAGAAAACTGTTGCAATACCATCGTGTTCCTTCTGGGCTATGAAAGTCTTAACAAGTCTTTCCTCTAACAGTCAGAACAGGCTGTTTCTATTACCACAGAAGTGGTCTGAAACTCCTCAGCTCATTGCACAGTGATCACTGAGCCACTACTAGTGGATCAGTTCAGTCCTGTTTTCTCCTCACCAGCAGAGCTGGCTGTTAACCAAGGCCTAGAGTCACATTCAGATATTTCACAGTCATCACATGGGGGCTGGGTGCCCTTATCACAAACATCAATCACAGCTTAGTTTGTTCCTATCAAATGTGCTGGTCATTACCGAACAAGTCAGATCTAATATGTGAAACTGCTTCAAGAAGAGTCCTTCCAAGGTGAATGGAAAGAATGAGCCTTTCATGACTGCCAGCCACCATCTCTCTGTGCTGCCTTTGTCCATTGAAATCAGTGGAATGCACTAGCCACAGAAGCAAAGATGGCAATGAGCACTGTGTCAGTCCTAGTGCTGTTAGGGGCCCTAGCAGGCAGCCCAGCCAGGACTGATTGCACAGTTGTCTAAATCTGCTACAGGCTCTGACTGGCAGCCTCACACCAGCTGATAAGCCAGCTGGCCATTTGCAATGCCTCCTGATTGGCTGCCAGAGAGCAGCCTCCCTATTTAAATCCGCCTGTGGCAGCAGGCTGCAGGTCAGCCAGCGATTGTGTTTGAATCACAATTTGTGGCAGAGCACCAGCATAGTGCTTACTACTTAAGGGCTGTTGCAGGCTCTGAGGGCCTGAGGTATGAGTACTAGGGAAAGCCTCCCCCAGGAACCATTTTAAAGGGGGAAGGTGGGTGGCAGAGCACCTTTGGTGTCTGCCACTTTAAGGAGAAGACCAGGCAGCAGACAGGTGCAGGCCAGCTCTGATGAGGTGGCCATTTTAAGATCTTGCCTCTGCTGAGGCAGCAGTTCACTGCCAGCAGCCAAGGGAGCAACAGCACCCGGCTGCACTGCTACCCAAGGAATATCTTGGAGGTAAGGGCAGGAGCTATGAGAATGGCAGGAGGCTCCTGGTCCTGGGCATGACCTAGCACTGCACCTTGCCGGGGAAGGTTGGCCTAGTGGGACTCCCTGTGGTAAGGGAGTCCCACAAGAAGTGCCAGGCCAGTTACTTTCCT